CCCCCCCCCCCCCCCCCCCCCCCAAAAAAAAACCTTGAACCTGTGTCCCCTAGTTGTTGATCCCTCCACCCTGAGAAAATGCCTCATACTTTCCACTCTATCCACGCCATTCACAATCTTATAAACTTCTATCAGGTCGCCCCTCAACCTCCTGTGTTCCAGTGAAAACAAACCCAGTCTACCCAACCTTTCGCCATAGCTAAAATCCCCCACACCAGGCAACATCCTGGTAAACCTTATCTGTACCCTCTCCAAAACATCCACATCCTTCTGGTAGTGTGGTGACCAGAACTGTATGCAGTTTTCTCCTTCAGAAGTTTTTGACATATCGCTGTTGTCCAGTCCCTTGGACATTTTTCTTCATTTTATGTGTGAGTGAGTCTACTTTTAATGTGGCAAGGCCATCACATGAAAAATCCAGTTATCTCACACCCTAATTCTTTGTCCACACATGTGGTTTCCAGTTTCTGACAGTAGAACCCTGGAACTTTATTCTGGCAGGATTTACCCCTCCTTAGCATAGGAGCACAGGCATTTACTATCGTGCTGAGATCTGATAACTTTGGCCAGGTTGCAAATTGAACCTGGGCTCAGCTTGGCTGTTTTATCTCTGGATTGCACATCTTTTTTTCTGTTTCACCCTCAGTATGAAATCACTTTGTCTTATATTGTTGGAATTTTAAACCAGTCCTGCATTATGATTTTTTCATTATTTGCACTGGTGCATCGTTGGTTCCTTTGCAACCTGGTAGTGAGTCAAGTTATTGTCCCACTTTGTGTATGGAGTCAGTCACAATAATCTGTTGTGTTTTTAAGATAAGATTGAATTTGCTGTTTATTTGCAGAGAATTGATGTCCAGTCAGAGGGCCTCATCAGTGATGTCATCTCAGCCCAAAGCTGGCTCATTTCTGTCATTGCTACTCTCACAAAGCAAGAAACCCTCAGGAAAAGGCCAGGTGCACCCAGGGCCTTTGCAGTCCTGTCAGAGTCCTGTGTCATCTGGAAAGAGAGATGGTGCCAACAATCAGGTATTGACAGTTTGTGCCAACTCCATTTGCTGTTTCAATGTTCTACAAACCAATCTTGGCTCTGCATCAGGATTTTTTCCATTGTTCAGACCACCAAGAGTAAAGAGAGTTTGGCCTCCAAAGAGGGAAAAGTACTGGTGAACACAGCTGCTGACACCAACACACTGCAGCAGCGACAGAGGAAGATACAGGACCATGAGAGAGACCCAAACTTGGTGCAGCAGCGACAGAAGAAGGTGCTGGACCATGAAAAAGAACGAAAGGATCTGTTATCCAAACATAATACACAGGTAAAAGTCAGATTAATCTGAATGCTAATCAGGATAATTGAATGTAACTTCCAGCAGGTTATGTTGGAGTGTTTTGAAGAAATCTTGAATGCTGCTGCAGGATCAGTAAGGTGTGCTGCACTGCAGTCCGCCTGCTACCTCCAGGCTGAGTTCGGATACAGTCGCAACAGAAAATGTAGTGCCGCTCAGCTGCCTCTGTGGTTTCTGACTCCCCACACAACTGCTCAGCATCCCACTATCGCTGCAAGTTATTACACAATTGGGGAAGTTTTCTACTGCTTTGAAGCTTAATTTGCACCATGTAATAGGATCAAGGCTGATCCGACGTGCTGCATGTCCACTTTGCTGCCCTTTCCTTTTAATCTTTGATCAAGAATCTATCTATCTCAGTCATAAATATAAACAAAGGCCTCTGCCCCCATGGCTCTCTATGACAAGGAGTTCCAAAGTCCCTCAAACATCTGAGAGAAGAAAATCCTCCTCACCTCATTCTTAAAATGGAGCCCTTTAATTCTCTGACTATGCTCTTTGGTCCTAGAGTCGCCCATGTGGAGAATTAAGCTCTCAGTATTTACCCTGTCAGGCCCTCGAAGAACCAGCACCTGCACCTTGATACAGTTGCAGCAAGACTTATCACCTTCTCTTACACTCCAACCCCGTTGAAATAAGGGCCGAATTCCATTCACCTTTCTGATTACCTTCTGCACCTGTGTGCTAGCTTTCTCGGTTTCATGCACAACTGCCCTCAAGTCCCTTTGTGTTGCAGCTTTCTGCACTTTTTCTCCAATTAAATAATATTCTGTTCTCTTGTTCTCCCTTCCAAAATGAAAACTTCACATTTTCCCACATTGTTACTTCATTTGCTAATGTTTTGCTCGCTTACTTAACCTATCACTATCTCTTTGTATCCCCCTCGTAACTTGCCTTTCCACTTATTTTTGTCATAGGCAAATTGCGCTGCAATACATGTGCTTCCTTCCTCCAAATCATTAATATTTATTGTAAACAGTTATGGTTCCCGCAGTGGTCCCTATCAAACCCCACTGATCACAGGTTACCAACCTGAAAAAGAACCCCTTATCTTCACTAAGATAACAAGGTGTAGAGCTGGATGAACACAGCAGGCATCATAGGAGCAGGAAGGCTGACGTTTCGGGCCTAGACCCTTCTTCAGAAATGGGGGAGGGGAAGGGGGTTCTGAAATAAATAGGGAGAGAGGGGGAGGCGGATAGAGGATGGATAGAGGAGAAGATAGGTGGAGAGGAAACAGACCGGTCAAAGAGGCGGGGATGGATCCAGTAAAGGTGAGTGTAGGTGGGGAGGTAGGGAGGGGATAGTCAGTCCAGGGAGGACGGACAGGTCAAGGGGGCGGGATGAGGTTAGTATGTAGGAGATGGGGATGAGCTGGGCTGGTTTTGGGATGCGGTAGGGGGAGGGGAGATTTTGAAGCTTGTGAAATCCACATTGATACCATTGGGCTGCAGGGTTCCCAAGCGGAATATGAGTTGCTGTGCCTGCAACCTTCGGGTGCCATCATTGAGGCACTGCAGGAGGCCCAGGATGGACATGTCGTCTGAGGAGTGGGAGGGCGAGTTGAAATGGTTCGCGACTGGGAGGTGCAGTTGTTTACTGCGAACCGAGCATAGGTGTTCTGCAAAGCGGTCCCCGAGCCTCCGCTTGGTTTCCCCGATGTAGAGGAGGCCACAACGGGTACAGCGGATGCAGTATACCACATTGGCAGATGTGCAGGTGAACATCTGCTTGATGTGGAAAGTCTTCTTGGGGCCTGGGACTGGGGTGAGGGAGGAGGTGTGGGGGCAGGTGTAGCACTTCCTGCGGTTGCAGGGAAAAGTGGTGGGGCTGGAGGGGAGTGTGGATCGGACAAGGGAGTCACAGAGAGAGTGGTCCCTCCGGAAAGCAGATAAGGGTGGGGAGGGAAAAATGTCTTTGGTGGTGGGGTCGGATTGCAGATGGCGGAAGTGTCGGAGGATGATGCGTTGGATCCGGAGGTTGGTGGGGTGGTACGTGAGGACGAGGGGGGTTCTTTTTTGGTTGTTGTTGCGGGGACGGGGTGTGAGGGATGAGATGCGGGAGACATGGTGGAGGGTGTTCTCGACTGCTGAGGGAGGGAAGTTGCGGTCCTTGAAAAATGATGACATCTGAGATGTAAGGGAGTGGAATGCCTCATCCTGGGAGCAGGTGCGGCGGAGGCGAAGGAATTGGGAATAGGGGATGACATTTTTGCAGGAAGGTGGGTGGGAGGAAGTGTATTCTAGAACCTAGTTGCAGGAACAGCAACTCATATTCCGCTTGGGAACCCTGCAGCCCAATGGTATCAATGTGGATTTCACAAGCTTCAAAATCTCCCCTCCCCGTACCACATCCCAAAACTAGCCCAGCTCGTCCCTGCCTTCCTAACCTGTTCTTCCTCCCACCTATCCCCTCCTCCCACCTCAAGCCACACCCCCATCTCCTACCTACTAACCTCATCCCGCCCCCTTGACCTGTCCGTCCTCCCTGGACTGACCTATCCCCTCCCTAACTCCCCACCTACACTCACCTTTACTGGCTCCATCCTCGCCTCTTTGACCTGTCTGTTTCCTCTCCACCTATCTTCTCCTCTATCCATCTTCTATCCGCCTCCCCCTCTCTCCCTATTTATTTCAGAACCCCCTTCCCCTCCCCCATTTCTGAAACGTCAGCCTTCCTGCTCCTATGCTGCTGCTTGGCCTGCTGTGTTCATCCAGCTCTAGACCTTGTTATCTCAGATTCTCCAGCATCTGCAGTTCCTACTATCCCTTATCTTCACTCACTGTTTCCTGCCTATTAAGCAGTTCTCTATCCATACCAGTATACTACCTCCAGCACCATGGGTTATCTTATGTGTTAAACTACTGTGAGGTACCTTACTGAATGCCTACCAGATGTCCAAATATATCTACTGATTCCCCTGTATCCACCCTCGTTGAGACTTCCTCAACAAACTGTTAATAAATTAGTCAAACATGATCTCCCTTTCATGAGCATGCTGACTGTGCTTGATTAGATTATGATTTTCCAAATGTTCTGCTATTACTTCCTTAATAATTGATGCCGGTATTTTTCAAACAATAGATGTCAGGGCTAAGTTAGCCACTTTTTGCCTCCCTCCATTTTTGAACAAGGCTGTCACATTGGCAGTTTTCCAATTCTCTATTACTTCTCCAGAATCTAAGGACTTTGGAAAATTACAAGTAATTCATCCACTATCAAGTAGCTATCAATTTCACCTTGTTTGACATAATTCTCTGATAATTCTTCACAAGTGGGCTACGTTCAAAAAGTGCTATTCATCACAGTCTTACAGCCAAGCCTGATCCTGCTCAATGCTATTGACTTAGATGGTGTCAGAGGCAGTCTTGACTGAAATTTACTGTCAGCACTGAGTTAATTAATGTGGCTTATCAAACCTCAGGAGTTGGGAGTACCTGAATAAAAATGGAACTTGGGATCCTCTGGTGAGTTCATACTCTCCCTGCTATAAACTGAAGAGGTCACATGAGCATCTGAATGTTCAAGAAATTATTTTATTTTCTCCAATATTAATGAGTGCAAACTTTATTGATATCTAATTGCATCCAGGGTATGGAGAAAAACTCTGAGCCTGGCTGCACTGAGATGGATATTCCCAGCAGCCCTGACATGGCTGTGGATCAACAGGACTCTCCTACAAAACTGAGCAAGTGTAGCTTGGAGCGCAGGAGTGAACAGCCTTTCATAGTGCTGAGTCAGGAAGAATATGCAGAACATCACTCCTCCATCATGTATTGTGGGTGAGTGGTGTTTATAGTTGTGTCTGTGTATCACCTGCATTTTATAGTGTGCCTGCTTTCTAAACTTCTCCCTTAAACTGATGTTTTACATATGCACTCAATTTGTAAACAATAACAACATTGTGACAACAGAAGTTGCTGGAAAAGCTCAGCAGATCTGGCAGCATCTATGAAGAGAAATCGGATTTAATGTTTCGGATCCAGTGATCCTTCTTCGGAACTGGTCACTGGACCCAAAACATTAACTCCGATTTCTCTTCATAGATGCTGCCAGACCTGCTGAACTTTTCCAGCAACTTCTGTTTTTGTTTCTGATTTGCAGCATCTGTAGTTCTTTCAGTTTTTACAACATTGTGACAGTTCAAATTATTTTGGGAGGTGTTTATTGTGTGTGGGGTTCATATATTCATACACAACTGAGTTGCCTGTTCTCTCCGCGCAGCCTGCCTTGCTAACAGGATTGAATAACATTTAACAGTCCTGTGGTAGTGGAGCTGTGCCTTTATTCCAACGGAAGCTAACAGATCATAGATTAATAGATGACCATCCCACAACCTGAGGCTGAATAGAGTGGTATCTAAACTAAGTTGCACAACCACCTGCATTCCTCTTGGAATTAAGCCTCTAATTAAGCCATCTTGCACTTTAATGTTAGGTTTCAAATTGTAGGTTGAGCTAGGTATTGATAGTATTTCCAGAAAGCCAGCTTTATTTAATGAAAGTATGCAGTGTTCTTGGAGTTGAGATTTATCGTGCAGCTACAGTGATGTTCATTTAATAGTGGTCTCTGAGGATAATACCCCAGTTTTAAATGTATTTCTTTTGTGACTGATTTAGGGTGGATTGCTCTGGCAGAAGAGTTGCCAGTCTGGATATTGATGGAGTGGTTAAAGTGTGGACATTTAACCCCACCATGCAGACTAAGGCCACTATAATGTCCAAATCACAGCTGCTTTCCTTGGAATGGGCTACCAAACCAGACAGATTGGTGAGGAACAATCTATATAATCTGGATATTTCTCTCAGACACTGCTTCTTTCCAACTGTTCACTAGAATGTAATAGGAAGATCCATTAATGTCGGAGTGTGGATTAATGCCAACAGTGACAAAGATGAGTACTAGAGCAGCAGAATGACATACCAATGCAATAGTATCCAGGGTGCAGTGTCACAAGACACTAAACTGTCAAATTCCTCATAGAGCTGTAGTGCAGTGGCAGAGTGTTGAGTGGACTTGATACAGTGCTGCTACTATACTAACGTGCAGTGTGTTTATCATTATTCCTGTACTGAATACAGTCCTTCTGTGTACTGGTTATTGCACTAACTTAGTGTGTTTATCGCGATCGCTATACTTTACAGTTGCAGGGGTGGACCTACTTCATCCCTTCATAATTGTGTAATTTTCCTTTATTGAACTTCTCTACTTGCTGTTGTATTTTGGTGCTTACTTGGGATTTCTTCTCTGGCTTTATAATGCTAGACCTGTCAAGAATAGCAGACTTCTTTCCCTAAAGACTAACAAACAATGGTTTCTTATAACGATCTCAAAGCTTCATGGTTTCATTTTTAGTGTCCAGAGAATTCATTTGTGGGGTGGTTTATTGGCTAGCCAGCAGTTTAAAAAATTGTGAACAATTTTGTTTTCTTCTAATTTCTTCAAATGTCTTCTGAGGAATATTGATGTAATTTTTATGACTCAATGTGTTGATGGAAAAAGTATTGAGTACTTGCAGAGAGCACAATATAGTTTGTTGTCAGCTTTCTACGGGGATCAGAAGATTTTTCCTTTATAGCCCAAAGTTTGATATCTTCACAGCTGAAGATTGTGTGCTGTTCTGAAATCCACATTATTAGGAAGAATGCACTAGCACTGGAGAGAGTGCACAGATTCATCAGGATGTTTTCTGGTTTGGAAAGTTTCATTTATGAAGAGATATTGGACTGACTGGGGTTGATTTCCTTAGAGAAGACTGAGAGTGGACAGAATTGAGGGGCATAGATGGGGTAGACAGGGAAGAAAATTTTCCCCATGGTGAAGGGATCAATAACTAGGGGGTATAGATTTAATGTAAGGGGCAGGAGGTGTGAGGAGAATCTTATTCAACCAGAGAATGGTTGGAACCTGGAACTCAATGCCTTTAAGAGGCAGACACCATCCTAACATTTAGTCACTATTTAGATGTGTACTTGCAATGCCAAGGCAAACAAAGCTATAGGCCTTGGGATAACAATAGTTAGGTGGTTGTTTTTGACCAGCGCAGACTTGATGGACTGAAGGGCCTTTTTCTGTTCTGTAGAGCTCTATGACTCTGACTGCTCTTTATGTCAGTACCCTTCCTGCTGAGCTTCTAAACTGTATATGTTTTTTGTCCAAAGACCAACTATATCTGCCTCCGTAATATTTCATGTTTCCGGCCCTGCATCTGTCCCTCAACCGCAAAATGCCTTTGTCACCTCCAGACATTGACTATGTCAATGTTTTCCCAAACAGCCACTAATTCTTCATGCTGGATAAGCTTGAACTAACATGTAATTCTGCTACTCATATCCTAACTTGTACAAAGTCCTGTTCACCCTTGTGTTTGCTGACCTCCATTGATTCCCATTTCTGTAAATCTCACATTTTAAAATTGCCATCCTTGTATTTAAATTTCTTCATGGCTTTGTCACAATCTTCTTAACATTTTTGTGGCTCAGAACACTCTTTATCTTGGCCCCCTGAAATCTGTTTTTCTAATCTTGGTGTCCTCAAAAAAGCTCTGACATTCATCCACCATTGACAGCCATGCCTTCATGGATCACACATTGAGAGCATTAGGTGTTCCTCTAATTCGGTGTCCTTCTAGAATTAAGTTTAATTCCTTCCTTATGAAGTTTGATAAATGGAATCAATCATTTGGTAACTAAAATGCTCAAATATATTTTGCGCCAACTGTATGTCAAGGCTGAACTTCCTGTTGAAGAGAAGCAACCTCCACGCTGCCATTGTCTCCTGCTGCATGCTTGGCATGAATACCGTGTTTTAAACTCCTTTTTAGTATGCGCAGTTATTGAATAGGTGATGGTAACTGAGAAAGTTGTACTGCATATCTATTTATAGGATTTTCAGCAATTTTCAGGAATGATTTCTGCAATTTGCAATTTTGAAGATCCCAATATTGAGAATCAATATGCTATGCAAGGCCTTTCCAGAGTTTTAAATTTTGAAACGACATGTTTTAGCACAGCAATGTTTTCAGATATGTATTTCTTCTGCAGCTGTTGCTTGGCAGTGGGGTCGGAACAGTTCGACTTTATGATACTGAAGCTAAGAAGAGTCTGTATGAGCTGACAATTGATGAATCTTATCCTAGGTGAGTTCAATATGTATAAGGGGGAGGTAGCAACAAGAAAATATGCGAGTTGTACTTGTGGTGCATGGGCATCTCCAGCTGGCCAGCATTTATTGCCCTTGTGTAGGTGATGGTGAGCTGCCTTCTTGAACCATTGCAGTTCGTGTGCTGTAGGTTCACCTATGATCCTATTAAGGAGGGAATTCCAGAATTTTGATCCAGCGACAATGAAGGAATGGCAATATATTTCCAAGTCAAGATGTTGTATGGCTTGGAGGGATACTTGCAGGTTGTGCTTTTTCTTGGTATTTGATACCCTTGTCCTTCTCGATAGAAATGGTCATGGGTTTGGAAAGTGCTGTCTAAGGATCCTTGGTGACTTTCTGCAGTGCATCTTGTAGATAGTATGCACTACTGAGCATTGGTGATGGAGGGAGTTATGTTTTAAAATATGTTTGATGAAATGTTGAAACTCAGTTGACTTTCTGCATCTAAAACTCCATATAACTAAATATGTGAAGGCTAATGTACCATTTGCTGTCTTCACCTGGCTGTTTACTTTTAGCCTTGGTGTACAACGATACCAATGTCTCGTTGCACCTCCCATTTCCTAATTTGTTGCCATTCAGATAATCTGCCTTCCTGTTTTTGCTGCCAAACTGTATAATCTTGCATTTATCCACATTATACTTGATCTGCCACATATTTGTGCACTCGATCAACTTGTCCAAATTTTACTGAAGCATCTCTGCATCCTCCTCCTACCCAGTTTGTGCCATCTAAATCATTAATATATAATGTGAATAGCTGAGGTCCAACCATTGATTTCTGTAGTACCCAACTAGTCACTGCCTGCCACTCAGGGGGTGAAATCATGTTTATTTCTACATTTTTGTTTCCTTCCTGCCAACCATAAAACACAGGAGGAAATCTAGGCCGTTCAGTCCATCAAATCTGTTCCGCCATTCAATGAAATAATGACTGATCTGATAATCCTCGGCTCCCTTTTCTGCCTTTTCCTGTAACCTCGTGATTTCCTTATTGATCAAAAACGTGTCTCTTCCAGCTTTGACTATCCATAATTACCCAGTCTCAACAGCCCTCTGCAGTAAAGAATTTGAGAAGAAATTCCTCATCGCTGTCTTAAATATACACCCCTTATTCTGGGATTATGCCCTCTGGTCCTAGACTCTCCCACAAAACTTTACAACCTTTCCAAATCTACCTTGTCAAGCCCTTAAGAGTCTTTTATGCTTCAAAATGGTTACCCCTCATTCTTCTATATGTCTGTGAGTACAGGGCCAATCTACTCAACCTCTCCTCCTAAGTCAGCCCCTCCATACCTGGTATCAGCCTAGTAAACCTCTAGTGTCCCAGTGCCAGTACATATTTCCTTCAATAAGGGATCCAAACTGTTGACAGTATTCCAGCTGAGGTCTGACTGGTGTCTGGTATAATCTTAGCAAAACCTCCTTATTTTTATATTCAGTTCCCTTTGAAATAAATGCCAATGTTCTATTTGCCTTTCCTGTTACCTACTGAGCATAAATTCTGGCTTTTGTGATTCATGCACGAGTACTCCCAAATTCCCCTCTTCTGTCATCTTGCTCAATTTAAATAATATTCAGCTCCCCTATTTTTCTTGCCATGGTGCATAATCTCACATTTCCCTGCGTTATATTCCATCTTCCAAGTTTTTGCCCACTCATTTAACCCTATATATGCCTCATAGACTTTGTCATGCTCACCATGCCTTTCCACCAATTTTTATCAGCAATCTACTTGGATATAGTATGTTCACTTTCCTCATCTGAGTCATTTATATAATTGTGGCCCTAGCAGTGACCCTTCTGTACACAACTAGTTACAGTTTGGCATCCTGAAAATATACCCCTATCCCAACTTTGTCTTCTATTAGTTAGCCTACCCTCTATGCTAATTTTATAGAAGCCCCACAGTGTGGAAACAGGCCATTTGGCCCAACAAGTCCATACCAACTCACCGAAGAGCATCCCACCTGGACTCCCCTCTCTACCATATCCCCCTGCATTTTCCATAGCTAACCCACCTAACCTACTCATCCCTGGTTACACTGTGGGCAATTCAGCATGGCCAATCCACCTAACCTGCACATCTTTGGATTGTGGGAGGAAACTGGAGCACCCGGCAGTATCCCGCCCAAACGTGGGGAGAATATGCAAACTCCACACAGACGTTCGCCGAGGCTGGTATTGAACCCAGGTCCCTGGCGCTGTGAGGCAGTAGTGCTAACCGCTGAGCTAGCATGCCATCCTTATACTGTCTGCAACAGCATGGGCACTTAATTTCTTAAGCAGCCTGATCTATGGTACCTTATCAAATGCCTTCTGAAAGTCCAAATATATTATATCCACTGCTTTACTTTTATCATGCTTGTTACTTCCTCAAAGAATTTTAATCACTTGTTCGGCATGATAACTCCTTCGTGAAGTCATGCTGACTCAGCTTAATCATACTATGTATTTCTAAATGCTCTGTTATTTGCATCTATTATAATGGATTGTAATATTTTCTCGATAACAAACGTTAATTTAACTGACCAGTTCTCTTCCCATGCCAGTACATTGGCCACAACCCCATACACTTTAATTTTGCATGTTAATCTCTAATTTGCAGCCTTTATCGATAGCCTTCTGAAAGTCCACGTAAACCTCGTCCATTGGCTCTCTCATATTAACACTTAGTCCAAAAAATTCCAGTAGATTTGTCGAGAATAATTTCTCTTTTTTAAATCCATGGTGACTTTGTTGGATCCTGTCACTCTTTGCCAAGTTGCTATTAAATCTTTTCCAATGGACTTTAGCATTTTCCCTATTACCAATGTCTGGCTGACCAGTTTATAATTCTGTTTTCTGTCTGCCTCTTTTTTTACAGTAGTAGTGTTACATTAGCTACCCTTTAATCCATAGAAACTGTTCCAGAGCCTGTAAAATCCTGATAAAAGACTACCAAATGAACATAGAATATAGAACAGGTGAGCACAGGAACTGGCCCTTCAGCCAACTATGTCTGCACTGATTATTATACTATCCTAAACTAATCCCATCTGCCAGCACATGGTCTATATCCCTCCGTTCCCTGACTCCTAATGTGTCTGTCTAAATGACTGTTAAATGTTGCTGTTATATCTGTTAGTACCATCTCCCCTAGCAGTGCAGTCCAGGTACCTACCACCCTCTGTGTTTAAAAGAAAAAATCCTCACACTCTTTTTTTCCCCCTCTTACCTTAAACCAATGCCACCTAATAAAAGATTCCAACTATCCTTCCTATCCATGTATCTCAAAATTTTACACGCTTCTATTGCTCGCCCCTCAGCTCCTATTCTCTCGCAAAATCAATCCAGGTTTGTCCTACCTCTCCTTGTACTTTAATACCCTGTAATCCAGGCAATATCCTGGTAAACTCTTTTGCACTCTCTCCAAAGCCTCCATATTTTTCCTATGGTGTGGTGATCGGTACTGCATCTGCTATTTCTAGGACCATTTCCTTAACTATTCTAGGATGTAGATTATCAGGCCCTGGGGAATTATTGGCTTTTATTCTCATCAATTTTCCCAACACCATTTCCCTACCAGTACTGATTTGCTTCACTTCCTCTCTGTGGACCATGTGTTCCCCAACTGTTTTGGGACAATGTTTTGACCTCCTTCGTGAAGACACAACCAATATATGTATTTTCTTGATCAGTCATCTCTTTGTTTCCCCATTATCAGTTCCCCCATTTCTGATTTAAGGGACCTACATTTGTCTTCACTAATCTTTCTTTTAACATACCTATGGAAGCTTTTAAAATCAGTTTGTATGCTCCTTGCAAGCTTACTCTTGTACTCTATTTTCTCTCTCATAATCAAACCCTTTTTCCTCCTTCGTTGATATCTAAGCTGCTCCCAGGCCTTAGATCTAGTCAATTTCAATGCCTCCTCCCATAGACCTAATCATATCCCTAATTTTGTTTGTTAGCCATCATAAGGCCATCTTTCCTGTTTCATTTTTGAGCCAGGCAGGAATGAACAGTTGTTACAGTTCCTCCATGTACTCTTCAAATATTTGTCATTGCCCAAGATCCCACATCCCTTTAAGTAAGATTCCCTATATATCATAGCCAGCTCATGCCTCATGCTGTCGTAGATTCCTTTATTTAGATTCAGGACCCTAGTCTCAAATCAACCATATCACTCTTCACCTTAGTGAAAACTTCCATCACATTATTGCCATTCTACCCCAAGAGGTCTTGCGCAGCTAAATTGCCGATTATTATTTTCTCATTACACAATACCCAGTTTAGGATAGTTGTTTTCTAGTTGGTTCCTCAATGTATTGATGTAGAAAACCATCTCAACACTCCAGGAATTCATCTTCTACTTCTTTGTTCCTGTTTTGATTTGCCCAATTCAAACACAGATTCAAGTCACCCAAAATTATAACTCTATCTTTATTGCTTGAATCTCTAATTTCCTGCTTTTCCCAACATTACCACTACAGTTTGAGGGTCCCTATACAATTCCCATGATCATTTTCTACCCCTTAGTGTTTTTAAGCTGAACCCATATAAATTCAACTTCACCAGAGCTTCAACTTCCTCACTATAATCTTAATTTACTTTCTTGTGCCAGCAATATCACCACCTCCTTTTTCTTTTAGTCAGTCCTTCCTCAAAACTGAATACCCTTGGATATTCAATTCCTACCCCTGGTCACCGTACAGCCACATTTCATAATCTCAACAGTATCATGACATTTTATATCTCTGTGCAACTAACTCATCTACTTTATCGCAAATGTTCTGCTCATTGAGGTTAGCTTTTCACTCTGTTTACATTATTTTGCCTTGTGGCCCTGTTTGATTTGGTCCTCTTTCTTCTGTCTCCCTATTCTCCTACCATTTTAGTTTAAAACCTCCCTGACTACACTCAATTTTCCACCAGGACATCAGATTTGGTCCTGCCCAGGTGCAACCCATCCAATTTGTACTGGCCCCACCTGCCTCAGACCCAGTCCCAATATCCCAGGAATCTGAAATCCTCCCCCTCACATGATCTCTCTTGCCATGTATTCATCTGATATATCCTGCTATTTCTACTCTGACCAGCATATGCTATGTGCTGGCGATGTGGGTTCTTGGGCAATGACAAACATTTGAAGAGTACATGGAGGAACTGCAACAATTGGTCATTCCTGTCTGGCACAAAAATAAAACAGGAATGATGGCCCAACGATGGCTAACAAACAAGATTAACGATAGTGTTAGATCTGTGAGATTGCTACATTTGAAGTCCCACCTTCTTTCTTCCTAACTCCCTACATTCTGCTTTTAGGGCCACATCCTTTTTCTTCTATATGACTTTGCTATCAACATGCACCATTGGTTCACACCGCTACTCCAGAATATCCTGTAGCTGCTCCGAGACATCCATGATCCTAGCGCCCAGGAGGCAACAATTATCCTTGTGGCCATAGAAACATCAACCTATTCCGCTTATGGTTGAATTCCCTACTACTGTAGCCTTCCCACACTTTATTCCTCCTCTCCAGCGCAGCAGAGCCAGTTGTGGTGTAACGAACTTGGCTGTTGCTACTTGCCTTCAAGAGGCTGTTTCTGTATTGTTCAAACACACAAGAATCAATCAAGAAGTTATTGCTCTGCTGAATACTCCTGAATGCACAAGAATACATAACAACTCATTCTGGTTGAAAGCCAATCAAAAGTCTGTCACTGAGCCAAACTGCCTTTTAAGTATACTTACAGAGCTGTGGAGTCTCGCTTTCTCCCACATTGGTTGAATACGCCAGTATTGTTGATGCAGCACACTTTTTTGTTTTTAAAAAAAATAACTGCCACATCATCTTCTGCAGTTCCATGGTTTGAAGCAGGATCTTTTCCCAATTTTAAGTCCACCGTGCAAAATAGTGTGGTCTTTGCAATGCTTTCTGTCATGATGACCCGATGCAGAGACTCTGAATAAGTATTCTGCAGTTTCCATATTTCCCATTATTAATTTCCCAGTCTTGCCCTCTAAAGGGATAAATTACTGTCTTCCATGTACACTGTGGAAGCTCTTGCTGTCTGTTACTCGCAATCTATTTTTTCCTGTTATTTTTAGTCTTTGTTTTTTGCTGGTTTTTCCAATTTTCTCAAATCTTTTGACCTGCATCTAATCTTCAACACTTTTATTCCAATTTTCATTTCTATCTTTTCTTTCCCTCAGTTTAATGTCATACTTAATTAGCCCTGGATTGTTCACCCCCTGTTAGTCTTTTTCTCAATGAAGTATATCTTTTATTGATAATTATGAAGTATCCCCTAAAACGTTTTCTTCTGCACAACAATGGTCTTCTTTTTTAATGTTCTTTCTTGGGCAGTTTTAGCCAGTTCTGTCGTCTTAGCCTTTATTTATGACATTAACTTTCTTGCCCTCAAACTGATTGTGATATTTGATCATATTACTTTAGAACAAACACGGAGGCACATCTCTTAGATACAAAACAATAAGGAGCAATGGAGGGGATTTTCATTGCCTAATATTGACTGTTCTAGTGTGAAAGGAATTGAGGGAGCAGAATTCTTGAGGTACGTTTAGGATAATCTTTTTGGCCAATATGTAGCAAGACCAGCAAGAGAAGACAGATTTCTGGAATTAATTTTAGAAAATGAAGCTAGTAGGTGGAAGAACATGGCACAGCTTTTGGGGGTGGCATGGTGGCTCAGTGGTTAGCACTGCTGCCTCACAGCGCCAGGGACCTGGGTTTACTTCCACCTTCGGGAATGTGTGGAGTTTGCACATTCTCCCCGTGTCTGCGTGGGTTTCCTCCCACAGTCCAAAGATGTGCAGGATAGGTGGATTGGCCATGGGAAATGCAAGATTACAGGGATAGTGTAGGGGCAAGAAGCTGTTTGGTAAATTGGAATGGACACGATGGGCTGAGTGGCCTGCTTTTTCTTTAGAAAAAGCCTATTGGGTGTAGTGATTGTAATTCAGTTAGTTTTGACATAATTGTAACAAACTAGTTTTAGGTCAAAACTGGGGCAAAGCCAACTTGCTAAGCTGATGAGTGATTTAGTGAAAATGAACTTGAAGCAGCTAGTCAAAGGTAAGTCTGTGCCACAGCAGTGGGAAACATTTGAAGGGAGTATCAAAGAATTTGGAGCAAACATGTTAGCATGAAGAGAAAAGGTAGAATGGTCAAATCCAGTACCCTAGGTGCCAAGGAGCATGCAAGTTAAGATTAGGCAAAAGAGGAAAGTTAATGACGGAGAAAACTCAGGGGAGTATAGAAACTGCAGGAGTGAAATCGAAAAGGGAAATTTAAAAAAAAAATGAAAATATTGGTAACTAAAGGCAAAGAAAACACAAAGATGTCTTATCATTGTATTCAGAGCAAGCGAATAACTAAGAAAAGAGTGGGGCCCGTTAAAAACCAAAGGCAGTCACTTATTTAGAGGTGGATGATGCAGGTATGCTCCTTAATGAATACTTTGCATTCCTGTTCACAAAAGAGAGTATGATATATTGGAGTTAAGGAGAAATGTGAAATATTGGATATGATAAACATAGAAAGGACGCATTAGTGGATTTAGCATCCTTGAAAGTAGATAAATCACCTGAGCTGGGTGAAATGTACTCCAGGCTATTAAAAGAGGCAAGGGAGGAAGTAGTGGAATGTCTGACCATCACTTTCTAATTGTTGCCTAATACAGATGCAACATCAATGGATTGGAGGACTGGTAATGTTGTGCCTTTGTCTAAAGAGGTATTGAGGGTGAAAAAAATGATTGACAGGCAATCGGTATAACCTCCAGCAGTGGGCAAATTGTTGGTGCCAATTTTGTGAGACAGAATAACTGTCAGTTTTAAATAGAGATTATCAAGGAGATTCACTATGTATTACGGGACTAAACCGTGTGACTAACTTGATTGAATTTTTTTGAGGAAATGATAGAAAATTGATGAAGGTAGGCCATGCTGTCTGTGTGAATTTTAGTAAAATTTTCATCAAGGTTCCACATGGCAGATTGGTTTAACTAACAGTCATGGGATCCAGTGGAATGCAGCAAGCTGGATACGATGTAGAAGGAAATTACTGCAGAATGCTGGAATCTGTCCTGAGAACAGAAAATGCTGGAAATCACAACAGATCAGACAGCATCCATAGAGAGAGAGAGAGAGAGCAAGCTAATGTTTCGAGTCTACATGACAAGCTGGTTACAATATTGGCTCAGTGACAGGACATGAAGAGCAATGGATGATGGGTATCTTTGTGACTGAAAGGCTGTTTACATTGGGGCTCTGCAGGACTCAGACCTTGGTCCCTTTTTTGTGTTGTATCTCAATGATTTGGACACAAATATAAGGCACATGATCGAGGAGTTTACAAACGTCACAAAAATTGGCCAGATGGGTGATAGTAAGGAGATTGCAGAAAGCTATTTTAATGAACTGGTCAGGTAGGCAGAAAAGTGGAAGACTGAACGCAATCTGGAGAAATGCAAGGTGGTGCAAGGGAATGCACAATAAGTTGGAGGATGCTGAGACTGTGTAGTGGAAGTGAAGACTTCACAGTGAATGTCAACAGATCCAATGAAGGTAGTGAAACAGGTTGATATGTTGGTAAATGTGGCATAAGGACTCCTTTATTAGCCATGGCACTGAATATAAGAGCTGAGACTGAGTAAAGCATTAGAATACAATTTGAATATGTGTGCATTCTGGTCACCTCGTTACAGAAAGGGTGTAATTACATGAATGAGGGTACAGAGGACATTTAAAATGATGTTGCCAGGACTGGAAAATTGTAGGTAATAGAAAAGATTGGATGGGCTGGCATTATTTGTCTTTGAACAGGTCTGGCTAAGTGGAGATTTGGTTGAAAATTGTGAGGGGCCTAGATCAGGTGCATGGGGAGGGCCTATTTACCTTAGAGAGAAGTCAACGATGAGGGGCATAGATTTGAAATAATTGATGGAAAGATTTCCTCTTATAATTAATAGTAATGGCACTGGCCAAGTAGTTCAGTGGCCTGGGCTAATGCTGTGGGGACGTAGGCTAAAATGCCAGTTGGTAAATTTGAAATTCAACAATAAAACTGGAATTTAAAACTGAGCTCAGTAATAGTGATAACAATCATGATTGATTGTAAACATTGGTCTGGTTCACCAATGTCCTTTAGGAAAGTAAATCTGCCATCTTCACCTAGTCTGTCTTGTGTAACGCCAGATCCACATTAATGTAATTGACTCCTAACTGCTCCTGAAAATGTCTTGGCAAGTGACTCCGTTCAAGTGCAACAAATGCTGGTCTTGCCACATCCCAGCAAAGAATGTGGAAAAGGAAACATGAATACAACCAGGACAGGATGCATTGGAATGTTTCCTAATTTGTATGTTTAGATCAGGAGACTCTGGGATATTTCTTAACTTGCTGCCTTTCCTTCTATCCAACAGAATTTTGTCTCTATCTTGTAGTCCAAGTGGGACATCATTTGTTTGCTCCTCAGCTGCTCCAAGCATCAAACTGGGGACAGTGGTGGAAGCAGGAGATAAAGGAGTTAACCTGGTTCCAGGTGATCTCCTCCTATGGGACACGAAAACAATGAAGCAGCAGGTAAAGTACCAGGGACTGCCCACTTCGGAGAAATGGTAATGCAGTAGGTTGTGTGCTGGCCTGAAGTGTTGCTGAGGATACACTTGGTTGAAATGTACAGCTGAATTCTGATTGATACATAATTTGATGGATATACATAAACAGTTGACAGCGAAAGAGTTTAATATATCCAGATTCTGTGCATGTGTGACAGAGAGAGAGATCTGTGTGTCTTGGCAGAGTGAGAGTGGAGAAAGACATCTGTATATCCTGACAATGTGCGAGAGAGAGAGAGAGACATCTGTATATCCTGACAGCCTGTGTGTGTGTGTGAGAGAGAGAGAGAGACAGACATCTGTATATCGTGACAGTGTGTGAGAGAGAGAGAGAGATCTGTAAATCCTGAGTGTGTGTGAGAGAAAGAGACAGTGATGTGTACTGACTTTGTGTGTGTGCGCGTCTCGAGGGAACCAGCAACAACTTGAAGGGGCTGCTGTTAAAGTTTTAGTTGCACTTCAGCCCCATATTTCTGATGTATGGGCGGGGAGGGGCGGGTAAGTCTATGAACCTTCTGGTGGCTTTGCTCCTGGGGGTGGCCATGATGGTCATTAACAGGTGCAGGCAGCGGGCTGAAGAGGGGCTCGTTGTTCCTGACTGTCTGCCCCTCTTCCGCGGTTATGTCCGCGCTAGGGCGTCCCTGGAGAGGGAGCACACGGTGCTCACTGGTACGTTCGAGACCGCTGTGTGCCTCATGGGCTGGAGTATATAAACAACCTGGATAATGATATTCTGATTCAGTTCATTGTTTCTGTTGTGTCAGTTTTGTTTTGCCTTTTGAGTTTGTGTTTGAGAGAGAGAAAGAGATTGTTCTGACAGTGGTGTGTGAGAGAGAGAGAGATGTGTATATCCTGACAGCATGTGTGTGTGTGAGAGAGACAGAGCTGTATATCCTGACAGCACGTGAGGGAGAGAAAGATCTGAATATCTGACTGTGTGTGTGTGTGTGTGTGTGTGGTGTGGGGGAGGGGAGTGGCTAAGAGGAGAGAGAGAGAGAGAGAGAGAGATCTGTGTATTCTCATAGTATGTGTGTGTGAGAGAGAAAGAGATCTGCATATGCTGACAGTGTGAGTTTGAAGAGATCTGCATATTGTGACTGTGTGTGTGAGAGAAAGATGTGCATATCCTGACTGTGAGAGAGAGGGGGAGACAGATCTATACTGATGGTGTGTATGAGAGAGGGAGATATGTCATCCTGACAGTGTGACAGAGTGGGAGATGTGCATATCCTTACAGCGTGTGGTGTAGGGAGAGAGAGAGAGAGAGAAACACCTTTATGTCCTCATACTATGTGAGAGAGAGAGAGCTGCATATCGTGACTGTGTGTGTGAGAGAAAGATGTGTATATCCTGACACTGTGTGAGAGAGAGGCAGATCTGTACTGATGGTGTGTATGAGAGAGAAATGTATCTCCTGACAGTGTGTCTGTGAGAGAGGGATGTGCACATCCTAACAGTGTGTGAGAGAGGGAGAGATCCGAATATCCTGATAGTGTGTGTGTGAGAGAGAGAGAGATCTGTATATCCTGACAGCGTGTGTGTGTATGGGGGGAGGGGAGAGATCTGTATATCATCATAGTATGTGCGAGAGAGAGAGAGATCTGCATATGCTGACAGTGTGAGTGAGAAGAGATCTGCAGCTTGTGACTGAGTGTGAGAGAAAGATGTGTATATCCTGACAGTGTGTGAGAGAGAGACAGATCTGTACTGAGTGTGTGTGAGAGAGAGAGAGAGAGAGAGAGAGATGTGCGCATCTTGACAGTGTCTGTGAGAGGGAGATCCGTAAACCCTGCCAGCGTGTGAGAGAGAGAGATATGAACATCCTATCAGCGTGTGTGAGAGAGCGAGAGAGAGAGATCCGTATATCCTGACAGCATCTGTGAGGGGGTGCTGTGCAGATCCTGACAGTGTGTGAGAGAGGGAGATGTGCAGATCCTGACTGTGTGCATGTGTGTGTGACAGAGAGAGAGAAATCTGAATATCCAGAGAGTGTGTGAGAGAGAGAGAGAAATTTGCATGTCCAGAAAGCGTGTGTGAGAGAGAGAGAGAGAGATCTGCTTATCCTGACAGTGTGTGAGAGAGAGAGAGACCGAAATGTGTATCCTGACAGTGTGTGTCTGTGTGGCATGTGGGGGCGGGAGAGATTTGCATATCCTCAGTGTATGTGTGACAGAGAGATCTGCATATCGTGACTGTGTATGAGAGAAAGATGTGCGTATCCTGACAGTGTGAGAGGGAGAGACAGATAGATAGATCTCTGTTTAGTATGTATGAGAGAGGTGTATCTCCTGACAGTGAGTCTGAGAAGGGAGATGTGCAGATCCTGACAGTGAGTGTGTGTGACAGAAAGAGAGAAATCTGTATATCCAGAAAGTGTGTGTGTGGCAAAGAGAGAGATCTGTTTATCTAGACAGAGTGTGAGAGAGACAGAGATCTATATGTCCTGACAGTGTGTGTCAGAGAGAGGTAGTAATCTGCATATCCTGACTCTGTGTGTGTGCGCGTGTGTGTGTGTGAGAGAGAGAGAGATTGGCATATCCTGACGGCGTGAGGGAGAGAGTGGGCGAGACCCGCACGGGCTGAGGGCGAGAGATAAAGAGACTTGAGTGAGTCGCTCAGTTGTTTGGATGGTTTGTTTGCGAACAATGTAATGCCAATGGTGTGGTTTGCCAATGGCGTGGTTTCCCATTGCCAGCTGCGGTTACCATGAAGAGCTCTCCTTCTCAACCTCTTGCCTGACCTGTGGTATCATGGCCTTGTTGTTAAATTACTGCCAGTCATCCCTCTCTAATGAAGAGAGGTCCTACCTGTTATGTAAGGGGAGAGAAGGATTTTGCCTGTGCAACGGGACGGTTGGTGGATTTTGCCTGTGCAACGGGACGGTTGGTGGATCTTGCCTGTGCAACGGTGGAATGGGTTTGGGATCTTGCCTGTGAAATGGAGAGTGCGAGCAAGGGAGGGCGGGCTGTCCTGACAGCACGTGAGGGAGTGAGAGGGAGGGCTTCTTGCTAAGAGGGTGAGTAGTCAAGTGCAGGCCCGATGCTGATGGCAAGAGCAGTGAGAGGTTTTGAAAGTGGTTGAGTGGGATCTCTTCAGGATGAGTGTCAGTGGGTATCTTGGTTAATAGGGGTTGATATTATTACGACTCACAGATGTAACGCAGTTGAAATCAATTCCACAGTTTCTGGTCTCATCAGAAATGTTCCAAGATTTTAAAGTAAGTTCACTGAGTTCCCAAATTACATGATTGTCAAACCCAAGTTGATGTAAAGCACAGACCAGGTTTCTGTAGTTTACAGGAGCTTATATTTATTGCGAGTGATTAGACTGTAGCTGCAGATAAATTGTAACAATCTGTTTACATATAACACTACAAATTCAAGTTCTGATCCCTTTAGAAACTCCCACTCTGTCACATAGAGACATGGACGAGAAAGTAACAATGAATTGCAAGTAACTGGGAATGCAGTTCAGTAGCCTTTAATCACAAGATCTATTGAATTGATTCTTCGTGGTTAGAAGGTTTCTTCTCAGCTTTCTTTTTCCAGGTGCTCCTAGTAGTTTGCAAAATTATTGGTTCACTTATAAAAGGTCCCTGATTTTATTACTTAGCAGTCACAACTTAGAGCACTGCTGAAGGAAAGATCAACTTGTTTTGTTCAGGTCTGAAGTGAGTCTTGATTGCAGAGAACAGAGATCTGATCAATTTTGTACCTGTTTCCCAGGCTAAGCTATTTAGTTACTTGAGTTATACTTAATGGTAAGGTCCTGGGGAGCGTTGCCGAGCAAAGGGACCTTGGAGTCCAGGTTCACAGTTCCTTGAAAGTGGAGTTGCACGTAGACGGGGTAGAAAAGGAAGCATTTGATACATTTGTCATTATTGGTCAGTTCATTGAGTGTAGGAGTTAGGAGATCATGGTGCATCTGTACAGGACAGTGGTTGGCCACTTTTGGAATACTGCATTCAGTTCTCATCTTGCTATAGGAAGGATATTGTGAAACTTGAAAGGGTTCAGAAAGGATTTACAAGGATGTTGCCAGGGTTGCAGGGTTTGAACTGTGGAGAGAGGCTGAATACTGTAGACTGGGGCTACTTTCTCTGGAGATTCGGGGGCTGAGGGGTGTCCTTAAAGAAGTTTATATGATGAGGGGCATTGGTAGAGTGAATAGGCAAGGTCTTTTCCCCAGGGCATAGGTCCAAGGTGAAAAGGGAAAGATTTGAAAGGGACCCAAGGTGTAACTTTTTCACGCAGAGAGTGGTGCATGTATGGAGCGAGCTGCCAGAGAAAGTGGTGGAGGCTGGTACAATTACAGTATTTAAAAGGCATCTGGATGGGTACGTGAAAAGGAAGGGTTTGGAGGAATACTGACCAAATGCTGGCAAATGGGAGTAGACTAATTTAGGATATCTGGTTTGCATGGACAAGTTGGTCCAAAGGGTCTGTTTCCATGCTGTACGTCTTTGACTCTGAGAATCAGTCAGGTGGTTGTTGGCAGTCAGAAGTCCTTTGTCATCAATAACTGGTCACTGGTCCATATTGACAACCAGAGCTCAATCTGAATACGTAGACCCCTCGTCCCCAGTTTATCTGTAACCTATTTTTGAATTCCTGCATTTTCAAGTAGCTGTTTAAATGATCCATGCCATAAGTGTTGGGTTGCTCACTTTTCAAACCATGTAGAAATTGTTTGAAACATTTTTTTTCTTATTTCAGTCCACGATTTTTAAAAGGCAGAAATGTATATTATGTATGCTTATGTGCATCTACCCCAAAAGATGTATATTATTTATATTTTGATATATATATTATGTATATGCATATAGTATATACATATTTCTCTCTTAATAGATATATCTATTGGGGTTCCCTAATTTAAAAACATTCAACCAACGAACATGATCCCATACAAAGTTGTGGTTTTGAAGATCCAACATACAAACATTTCCCTGTTCTTATATAGCTGTTTTGTTGTAACATATTGTGAAACACATTGCATATGAATTGACTTGTGAATGGACTCGAGAACAGAACCTGTTTACAAACCAGGGACTGCCTGTACATCTCTATCTTGTGAGTGTGTGCGTGTGTGTGCTATAAAAGTATGTATATCCCATTAGATGTATCACATACTAAATCACAATAGATCAATATATTATCTTACCTATATTGTACCCCAATAAGCCTGTATATCATTTGTAAATATTATATACCTGTGTGTGTGTGTGTGTGCATGTGTTGAAACATATGTATACCTGCCAGGATATAGTGTGTATATATTATGGTATATATATATATTTTATACACACACGCACGTGATAGATAGATAATATGTGTATATCTGCACACCCGTGCCTTATCCTGATAGGTGTGTCCAGATAGATATATCTGATAGAGATATAAACGAGCTGTGCAGTGAATGATTTTAAAGTTTGCAGACAATAAAACTTGGGGGAATTGTGAACTGAGAAGAGAACAGTATAAACTTCAAAAGGGCATTGACGCATTGGAGTGGTTGGATAGGTGCCAGATGAAGTTCAGTGCTTTGGGATGTGAGGTGATATACCTTGGTACAAAGAACATGGGGAAGCAGTATAACATAAAGGGCACTATTCGAAAGGGTGTATATCATTAGAGGTGGCAGGGCATACATAATCTCCATAAATGGCAACATAGGCAAAAAGACACCAATGTTCAGCATGGACTGGTTGGACCGAAGGGTCTGTTTCCATGCTGTATGATTCTGTAAGAGCAGGGAGGTTGTGTTGAACTTGTACAAGACACTGGTTAGACTTCATAGAATATTGTGTACATTTCTGGGGACCGCATAAGGATAGTTGGGAATACATTAGAGAGAGTGCCGAAGTAGTTTACTAGAATGGTCCCAGGGATGAGACACTTAAGATATTAGGATAAATTGAAGAAGTTGTGACTGTTTTCCTTTAAGAGGAGAAGTCTCAGAGAAGATTTGTTACAACTTTTCAAGATCTCAACGGGCCTGGACAGAGGGGATAGGAAGAAATGGTTCCCACTTCGAAATGGATAGGGAATCAGAGGGCAGTTTTCAAGTGTTTACAACAGAAGGAAATGCACGGTGAGAAAGAAAATTTCCACATGGTATGTAATTAGGGTTGGGAATGCACTGTTTGGAAGTACGGTAGAGGTAGGTTCAATTAAGACATTCATGAGGGCATTAGATAATTACTTAACCCTGCCCTTTGTTGTTTACAAGCTGGAGTTTGGCACAAAGTTAAATTGCTGGTAATCATTCTGAGATTGGGACCAGAAAGGGGTATAACAAGTGGAAGCATAAGGGATAGTTGAGGTATTAAACTATTACTTTGTATTTGTTGCTACTTATGAAGATGGTGCTACTTATGCCGTGTTAAAGAGGGTAATTGAGACATTGTAATCTCTTAGTTATAAAGAGAGATAATTAGATTGCCTGTACTCAATGAGTTGATGAGCTAATGTACTTAAAATTAATGTGGCACCAGGACTGACTGAGATGCATCCAAGGATGCTGAGGGACGTGAAAGTGGTATTGTAGAGACACTGGCCGTAGATTTTCAGTCATCTTTAGACTGGTGGGTAATGACAGAGGTCTGGAGAATTTTGAACATTTGCACCCTTGTTTACAAATAGGGTTAAAGATAATCCCTGCAGGTATTGGTCAGTCTGTTTAACCTTGGTGGGGAAACTTCTGGAAACAGTAAGTCAGGACAATAGTACTGGTCAAGTGGGCAAACATGGGTTAACTCAGGAAAGTCAGTGTGGATTTTTAAGCGAAAATGCTTTTAAGTAATTTTGAATATTTTTGAAGAGTAACAGATGTTGTTGAGAGCAATGTTGTTAATGTGGTGTCCATGGACTTTTGAAAGGTATTTGATACAATACAAAAACAGACATGAACAAAGTTAGAGCTGAGGTTAGTAGCAAGAAGGATACAGTATTAGCTCAGTGACCAGAAACAGGAGGAGTGGTTCATAGATGTTTTTCAACTTGGCAGAAGGTTTATCATGGAGTTCCTCAAAGATCAGTTTTGCACTTGATATGTTTAAATGATCTTGGTGTATAGGGCACCATTTCGATATTTGCAGATGATATAAAACTTGGAAACACTGTGAGGAGGAAAATATAGACAGTGTTCATAAGTACATAGGCAAGTTGATGAAACTGTTGGGGAGATGACAATGAAATTGAACTTGGAGAATGGGGAGAGTGAAGTTTGAGCTGATTAACCTTGGTCAAAAGACCATGGAGAAATGAAATAAAGCAAAGCGTACAGCTTGAGGGGTGGGTGGGGGTGGTGGTGGTGCAGTGCAGGAGCGAAAGGACTTAGATGTATACGTGCATAAGTCATTGAAAGTACCAGGACTGATTGAAATAGTGGTTGACAGAGCATAATGTATCCAAGGTGTTATTAATAAGGGCTAAGAAGAGCAAGAGGTTATGATGGACTTGCATGAGACACTAGTTTGGCCTCAGCTGGAAGTTTGCATAGATTCCTAGGCATGATCTTTAAGAAGGATGTTAGGGTTTTGGAGAAAATTCAGTAAAGGTTCAGGAGAATGGTTCCAGAGATGGAGATTTTCAGTTACGTAGACAGATTGGGGCAGTTCTCCTTCGAGAAAAGAAAGCTGAGAGGAAAAGGAGTCTGATGGAGACATTCTAAATGCTGATTGTGGACAGTGTGATTTTGAAGAAATTGTTACCACTTGTGAAAGGGTTGAGAATGATAGAGTACAGCTGTAAATTAGACAAAAGAAGCAAACACAATTTGAAAATCTGTTTTGTGCAGCAAGTGCTTAAGATCTGGAAAGCTGTCCTGCGAATATGGACTAGGCAAATTCAATAGAGGCTTTCAAAACGGAATTGAACTGCTATTTGAAAAGAATGTTCAGGCAGCAGAATGGTACTAAGAGAATTTCTCATTCAGTAATGGCTTCATTGGGTGCCACAGTAATTCTGAGATGCTGTGCTGGGGAGGCTGAGCGTGCTTGCTGTTGGTAGCAAATTGAAGTGGATGGAAATTGCAATGTTTGTAGCTTACTGCTGCTGAGTACTTAAATTTTCCAGTAAGTTGACTTGTTTTTCTGTAGCACCAGTTTTCTCTGGACCCTGAGCCTATTGCCATTAACTGTACAGCTTTCAACCATAATGGAAATCTGCTGGTGACCGGAGCTGCTGATGGCATCATCCGGCTCTTTGGTAAGATGAACCTTTTCTTTATATTGGTAGTCAAAAGGTTACTTTAAGTTTTAATATACAGGCCTGCTTCAAATGAACTTAACATTGAAGATAGTGTAATGTCCTAATGATGGGCTGCTGGTGTCCAGATATTCCAACAAGAGTTGTCCCCTCTACATTGCCAAATGGCTACCTAGCCACCCTGCAGAAAGGACCACCTCATAGTGCTTCTCTGCATTAAACCTGTCCTTCTTTCAAAGCTGTTCCATAATCCAAAGCAATGAGACTTACTAGAGCAGGTCAGCTGACTGTAGTTGGTGAATTTGAAAGAATTATGGGGTTTTTGTGGTGCAATGGTGGTGTCCCTCCTTTGAGCCAGGAGGCTCATGTTCAGGTCCCACCTGCCCCTAGAGGTGTGTAATAACATCCCTGAGCAGGTTGATTAGAAAATATCACAACAGAATTAAGTGTGGCTTTTCCTCACAAAAGCACTCAGCTACTGGAATGAGCTGCCAGAGGAGCTGATGGAGGCTGGTACAATTACAGTAATTAAAAGGCATCTCGATTGTTACATGAACAGGAAGGGTTTGGAGGGATATGGGCCAAATGCTGGCAAATGGGTGTGGACGAGTTAGACCAAAGGGACTGTTTCTGTGCTGTACATCTCAATGACTGGATTGGCCAATGAGGTGAAAGGGTTGTTGGTTTGAGTAGTTTGGCTTTTTCTTAACGTGCTGAGATTTCTCTGGTTCATGCACCTATCAGTCCCAGTGCTGCTTGTTTCATTTATTAAAGCAGTCTTTTGAGAGAGATTTGTAGTGAGTCACCCAGGCATTTGCACAGTCCTCCATTCCCGGAAACCAGAGACTAACTTCTTGCTGTCTTCCTTCATCCGTCCCATTCTGAAGGTCTGCAAATTCAGTGTGCTTTATTTCATGTGTTTCAGACATGCAGCGGTATGACTGTGCCATGAGCTGGCATGCACATTCTGGGGAAGTTTATTCAGTGGAGTTCAGCTATGATGAAAATTCAGTTTACAGCATTGGTGAAGATGGAAAGGTAATTGCACAGCTGTCAAACAGGGAGCTTGAATGGTGTGACTAAACGATTCATTTGGAGTGGCAGTAACACTTGGAACTCTACCTGTATTTCATCCAAAGATTATCCCGCTTCCTCCACAGTCTTGTCTTCCATTTAATCAGAAATACCTGTCTCTCCAGATTTTCAGTTTTTCACAGTGGGGTGCAGATAAAAGGCTTTCATTTAGCTGTATTTGGAAGGATGTAGTTGAGAGTCTGTAGATGTATCTTTCTGTGGTAGATGTGTCTGTGGTGAGTGAGTGTGTCTGTGTACTTGAACATTTTGGTGAAACTTTCATTGATAAAGTCAGAATAAGTTTAAAGTTTGTTGCAGCAGTTTGGTTTGTGTACCCAGTTGAGAGATGTGCAATTTTTAACGAATCTGATAAGTTTGGCCTTTCATTTTTGGTTCTCTTGTTGATCTAGTTTATTCAATGGAACATCCATAAGAGCGGAGTCAAGGTTTCCGAATGCAGGATGCAGTCAGATGCTATCGGCCCATTTGTACTGTCTGGGTACAGCGGGTACAAGCAAGTTCAGGTGCCCCGTGGAAGACTATTTGCATTTGATTCAGAAGGACACTATGTACTCACTTGTTCCTCTAGTGGTGGAGTTATTCACAAGGTAAGGCACAAAGACCAGTATGTGTGATGGGAACTTAGTTTATTTTCAGCCTCTTCTGAAGAATCAGTTGATATTGAGATCTGACTTCCTTACTACTTCACCAAGTGGCCATTTGTTTTTTGTAAGCCTGGACAGTGCACATGACACTCAGCATTACAGCTGAGTATTGTCCACTCAATTGAACTGTGTGCTTTAAGCAAAAGTAATAATGTTGCTATCAGGACTTGCATTTCTGGTTGTACCTTTCTTTCCCTTCCATATTGTAAGCACTGATCCTAGTTGCAGCTTTAAAATTTATGTCCTGGCTGCGATTAGTGGCATCTAATCGAGGTGTTACTTTTCAGTTACCTTAGTATTATGATTCACACTTGAGGTGAAATTACTCTAATTTAGTGAACCATGCAGAGTGCTGATTAGAGTCTACCTGGAATACTATACACATCAGGAAGGATGCATTGGTCTTGGTGCAGCACCAATTCAGTGCAATAATACTCGGGCTAAAAAGCTTACATTATGAGGACAGATTGTGCAAACTACTTTCCCTTCAGTCGGGGTAGTCTGGGTATTTAGAATGGCAAAATAAGTTGATGTAGTAACTGTTTCCTCTGCTGGAGAACCCAGAACAAGAGCTCACTCGTTCCCTCCAATGACATTGCACACTGGCAGTTGTTTCAGATATGTGCAACTGAGATTGGTGCATATTTGTCAGGTAAGGATATTATGAACTATGGAACAATGGCAAATTGATCATGACTGATCTATCAGGGCTGATTTGTATCTTAATTCTCATCTAACTGAATAGAGGACAGGTTTGAGGGGCTGAATGACCTCCTCCTATTCCTCTATACAGTTGTTCTTATTCTTATTGGGCTGAGTTATACTACCTCGAAGATGGAATTGAGTTCTGACCAATTGGGCTATATAGATAGATAATGGCTACACCAGCTATTGCTTTTAACCACAGTCTATGAGCACATGGCCTTGACCTCCCATGATTGAGCAGTGAAGCAGTTTGGTCAAGGTATAGAAGAGAAAGGATGATAGCAATGGAACGTGTTAAGCCCAAGTGGATACAAAGCACCACCAGAAACCGTGGATATAGAGAGCAGGTGAACTGGTTGTAAATGCTGAGCAAAGAGCAGGCAAAGCATTATTTTACAAACGTGCTCTAACATTGTAAGATTCTTGGGTGCTGTTAGGTTAAAGCTTATGCACACTTCAATAGATGTATAAATTTTTCACTGGAGAGTAAGATTTATTGCTTAATCAGGCCATTCCTTTCCTCAGAACATTTTCATCATGTGCAGCTCATTTGCAGGTTCCAGCATCTGAGCCTTGTGTTTTAAAATACTGCGTTCTTTGGATTTGGCCTTTGTATTATCCTCAGTCATGGCTCTCTGCCACATAGCATATGGTAACAGTGTGATGACTGCAAGTAGACAGTGCCACGCATCATATGGTGACCATGTGATCAGTCATGTCAACAGTGCTGCACTGCACATGGTAACAGCATGATGAGTCACGTACGCTGTGCCACACAGAATATGGTTACAGTGTGCTGGTGTCTGTGGATGCTGTGTCACACAGCATATGGTGACAGTGTTGTGAACATGGACATACTGTACACGGTACAACAACCTGAGCATGGGGATATTTTAGGTTTGCTTCTTCATAAAACCAGCAATATGAATGCCAAACAATGTATATCACAATGATGTATATTGCAGACTCCCTGTATATGCTTCAGTAAGCAGTTTGTCTCATTGACTGTCCACAGTTCAAATAAGAACAGGAGTAGGCCATTTCAGCCCTTGACCATGTTCTGCCATTCAGTAATTTCCATCACATCCCTAAACATGTGGCAAGTGTACTTAGATACAGCAGTAATAATATGCTGTGTAACAGCCTAGCTTTTGCTAATTGCTGCACAGCTGATATCTGTAGCTAACAGTCCTTTTTTAAAAAAAGGCAAATATGGATTACAAGGGTCTGGATACCTTTCTTTACCTTAGCTTGGTATTTGGTTCCTGATAGTTGCTTTTCTCTCATCAGTCAATGTTTTACGAACTTTTAAGTTCTAAGTCTAATCTATAATTCACTTTTTCCCTAATTCACTTGTGGAACATATAGAATTATAACAGGTCTAGACAGGGTAGATGCAGGAGTGATATTCCTGTTGGATATGGGGTAGACTATTTAGGACCGAGATGAGAAATTTCTTCATCCAGAAAGTGGTGAGCCTGTGGAATTCGTTATCACAGAAAGCAGTTAAAGCCAAAACATTGTATGATTTCAAGAATGAGTTGGATTTTGCTGTTGGGACTAAAGGGCTCAATGGGTATGGAGAGAAAGTGGAAACCGGATACTGAGTTGGAAGATCAGCCATAATCAATCAATGGCAGAGCAGACTTGAATGGTCTACTCCGGCCCCTATGTTCTGTTTCTTAAAACATTTCACAATTTTGATCATTCTTGCTACTTTTCTACTCTGGCACCTCCACATTTGAGTAAGATAGACAAATCGAGATAGTGGGAAAGGTGGAGAGGAGGAATGGATGAGAGAGGGTGCCGAGTGGAACGGGAGGCATAAGTGAGTGAATGTGAGAGTGAGTACAGATAGATGGTATAAGTGAGTGTATGTTGCAGAAATGAGTTGGGAAGACAGGTATGTGTGTGGTGGAGAGAAAGAAACTGGCTTTAATAAGTGTGTGGGGTTAAGGAAAAGTAGGGCTTAACTGAGTCTTCTGTTACCACGGAATATGGAGAGTTTGGCTGAATCATGCCTGAGTACGCCAAATAAGGTTTGAAAAGTACTGAAATTTTTTTCATGTTTATTATCTATTATTTTCTTGATCTATAATGCTTGAACTTTAATATGCCAAATATGCCTATACTATTCTTGCTGTTTTGGTTTTTCTAGAGTTGTTAATTTTCAAGCATTTTCGTGGATATTTATTTATGTGGACATCACTAGCAAGGCCAGCTTTTCTTGCCTAACTTAATTCTCCTTGAGAAAGTGGTACTGAGCTAAAATCAGATTTGACAATGTCTGTGAAGCTTCACCTTCAAGCACTAGCTGTAATGATTGCTGTAATGCCGAGTTCACTTTATTAATTTGATGATAATGCAATGGTCTTCACACTTGATCATCATAGAAGGTAAACAAAGGGAAAACTACCAATTTGAAGTCTAATAATTTCACATTTGAAATAGCCTCAAAGCATTTGCATTTCATAAAGAGTTATATGTACATGATTCTTTGTAAATAAAAAAGACAAAAAAATTCAGATTTTTTTCTTTGGCCTTTCCCATTTCTATGTGCTGTCCTAGTTGCGTGCTTAAATTTCAAGTGATCCTCTGGATTTGGCCGTTTGTAAATGAATACTATATCTAATTTATGCATGTGTGATTCTGTCAGAGTGTCTGTCTTTTGCTGCATTACATGATCAAAGATCCCCATTTTCTCCTAACATACACTTGCAAAGCCTTGTTGTCTTGGTTAATCTGTACTTGGAATAACAGTTCATGGGCATGAGCAAAGGTTGATCCAAGAATAAGTGAGACTCTAGATTCAATTTTTCTGCTCACTGCAGTGTGCTTTCTGTCTTCTAGCTGACAAATGCAGAGCAAATCTTGGAACCTTGCCTATCACTTGGAGGTCATCGAGCACCTGTGGTCACTGTTGATTGGTGCACTGCAATGGATTGTGGGACATGCCTGACAGCATCCATGGATGGGAGGATTAAGCTGACAACTCTACTAGCCCAAAAAGCATGAATGAGAAACCATCAGGACTGAAGCTACACTTTGGCTGACTGAGAGACATTGCCCCATTAGCAAGGTGCAGGACATTGTAATAGTGTGCTTCCAATGCAATCTGTGAAGGTTTCACTAACCAAATGATTCCAGATATTTTGCTGCATATATGAAAGTCATTTCTGTTATAGTCTTATTTCTAAAATTTCACTTCAAGAACAGCTTATTGTGAATGGCAGGGGCCAGAGTTAATGTACTGTCCCAGGCCACAATTAAAAGTAGCTCTCGCCTCTTTTGTCACAATGGTGGAACATGTCCTCAGAATGAACAAATACGCTGCCTTTTAAACTCGTTACACTGTTGTGACATGATCTGCATGTTATGGTTTGTTTATCTGGCACGTGGCCAACATATCATCAGAATGTGTTATTGTGACCCAATTCAACCAGAAATTCATAGGCTAGATTTTTGTTAGCTTAGCTTACCTGATCTTAGATGGAGCAGTTGTTCAATACAACAGCTTAGTTGAGTACCTTAGGTAGAAGGTTAAATGTTATCTAAGTTCTTACTTCTGTGGTATCTCTTGCTATCTAGTGGACCACTTTTGTGTTTTTTGATTGTGCACAAGATCTGGGCAAACTGTGAAATCTCATAGTTAGGTATGCTGCAGGTATTCTCAGTGTAGCCTCATGTGATGACTAATGGGTTTGAAGGATCATATATATAGAAGGAAACATGGATAAAATAAACCTGATCCAGAAGTATTCACATTTTTATTTGCATTACTGTGTGTTATATGCCTCTGATTGTCGTAGCTGAGCATTAAACCTGCTTGGAGAATTTGTGAATACTCTTAACTGGTAATATAGTTTTACACAATTGGCTCAAGTAGAAGAAAGGCTGTTTACTAGAAGGTGAGAGGGTATATTGGTAAGAGTATAGTGGTGCAGAGTTTCAATTTCTACCAACAAAATCTTGAACAAATTTCTGTCATATAAGTAGATCAATGACAACTGACCCAGGCCCTATGGTAACTTCTACTTGCTGAATGTCCAGCTGTTCTGTGACCTCAAGAAACATATATTGCAGGGTTGCGCTTAGTTCTTGGGTGCCCATAATAATTGCTTCATTCTTAGAGAGTCCCAGATGCTGCACCTGTTCAGACCAATATCCATTGGTTAATGACGACCTCTGGCTCAGACTCACCCAACATGGATTCCATTTTAAATTTCATCCTTAGTGTTTCAAATCCACTCAAGATCACAAGTACCTCCAAGATGTACAGCACTCCCCAGACAGCAGTCCTATTCTCACTGCATCCTGAAATCTACACTCAATGCCATGCACTGCCATACACTGTCTCAGAGCTGCCCTGCTGAGTGCCAGCTCTCTCTGGCACCACCATCTTTCTCCCCCTGGACCGTGATCCCCACCCTCGAATATCAGGGTATAGTGCTGACGACAGTCACTAATCTCAGAGATAGTAGGAACTGCAGATGCTGGAGAATCCGAGACAACAAGGTGCAGGGCTGGATGAACACAGCAGGCCAAGCAGCATCATAGGAGCAGAAAGGCTGACGTTTCGGGCCTGGATCCTTCATCAGCTTTTCTGATGAAGGGTCTAGGCCCGAAACGTCAGCCAGTCACTAATCTCATCTCGTCTGGGATCTCCCTGTTCTCCAAGCTCATCGTCCCTCAACCCCATATAGCCTGCTTCTACCTACTTCTCAAAATCCACAAATAGGACAGACTCATTATTTCTGCCTGTTCCTGTCCCACAGAACCTATCTCTTTCTACCTTGACTCAAATTTTCTTTCTCTCCTTGTCCAGTTGCTTCCCGCATACACCTGAGATTCTTCTGACACTTTACATCTGTTTCAGAATTTCCAGTTCACAGACACCAGCTGCCTCCTTTCACTGTAGACTTGCAATCTGTTTGCATGCCCTTTTCCACCATCAGAATGGTCTTGGGGCTCTCCACTCCTTCCTAGAAAGAAGGCCTGAACTGTCTGCATCCACCACCACACTCCTCCACCTGACTGAGCTTGTTCTCACTTTGAACAACTCCTTTAATTCCTCTCATTTTCTTTAGATCAATGAAGTGGCCATGGGCACCTGCATGAACACCAGTTACGCCTGTCTCTTTGTGGGGTACATGGAACATTCCTTGTTTCAATCCTATTCATGTGCCTCCCCACAACTTTTTCTCTAATACATTTATGACATCATTGGTGCTGTTTCTCTCATTGGGAAAATGGAAAAAATTATGAATTTCACTTCCAGTGCCACCCCCTTATTCTTAACTTGACCGTGTCCATCTCTGATTCCTCCCTTCCCTTTCTCGACATCTCTGTTCCCATTTCCCACAGTTATCTTGGCTATAAATTCCCTCACTCTGTTTCATGTAAACATTCCTTTTCATTCTCCTAGTTTCTCTATCTGAACTGCGTCAGTTTGGATGATGCCAGCTTCCACAGAAATGTCCACCTTGGTTCACAGGGCCCTTAGTTGGTCTGACCTACATGCCAAGTTCTGCCCTTACCACTTCAGTTCACTCCCACAATACCAATAGGGTCCCCTGTCCTCACGTTCCACACTCCACAACCAAAATATCATAAGGCAGTATTTCCGTCACGTACAGTGGGATGCCACCTCCAGACAAACATGCCCCTCGTCTGCCTTGTCAGCATTTTGAGGACTGTTCCCTCTCCACGACATCCTGCTGTACTTCTCCTTTGCTCCCAGCTCATTCCTACATGTCATGGCACCTTCCCATTCAACCACAGGTTGTGCAGCACTTCCCCATTTACCACCACCTTCCTCACTATTCAAGGCTCCAGCCACACCTTCCAGGTGAAGCTGTGATTTATCTGCACTTCACTCAACAAAGTTTACTGTATTTGCTGCTGACAATGTGGTTTCCTCTACATTCGGTGACTGCTTTATGGAGCACTTACATTCCGCAAAAGTGACCCCAAGTATCCTGATGTCTGCCATTTCAACCCATCACCATGTTCCCTAGTCAACATATTCTGGTTCAGGCCTGTAGCAGTGCTCCAGTGTCTCAGCGCAAGTTACAAGAATTGCATCTCATTTTTGCTTGGGGCTACTGCAGCCTTCAAGACTCCATATTAACTTCAATAATTTTAGGGCCTGAATACCTTGTTCCGTGCCCTTTTGCCCACCCCACATGCCAGGCCCATAACACAGGCTGCTTTCAGCACAGCCAACCCATTTTCACCGACTCATAGTCCCCATTATCAGCTTTTCCTGCTCCCTGATATATTATCATCCATCCCTTTGTCTGTCTACCTGTCATATTCTGTCTCTTTCTTGGCTAAATCTTGGCCTATCTATTCAACAATTTCTTCTTCTCCTCGCATCCCCACCTGAACAACCCTCTGTCTTTAGCATAGCATAAATACCACCTTCTCCTAGGTACTATCAGTTCCAAAGAAGAGCAGCAGGACTGAAAATGTTCACCATGCTTTCTCTCCATGGATACTGCCAGATCTGCTGAGTTTCTCCAGCAATTTCTGTTTTTGACCCAGTCTTGGCTGGATGCTGATTAATAATTATAGGATAATCCCAAAGAGATGGTTCCTGTCCCCATTTGGCAGGAAGGTCCAACAACCAAAATCATCTCCTAACACAAACTCTAATTGAACAATCCATTGCATCTTGAAAATTTGCTACCATTACCTTAACCAGTTGTGTGATGTCCTCCACTACAAGTCAGTCAGGGTGGTCTGATATTGTGGTCATCCGGTCTGTGACTAAACAGAGGGGCCTGGAGCTAGATTACAACAAAGAACCAATGTACTGCCATTCCTTGGAGGAGGGTAAAGGTGGTGTAACTGAGTAGCCTGCCATCTTCACCTCCACCCCCTCACCACCGCACATATTGAAGGAGGAAATCTTAAAGTCCCTACACTGGGGAGACTAAAGTTCTATAAAGCTGCAGCATAACATGCCTGTCCTTATACTCAATGCCCCTTCCAATGAAGGCAAGAATACTATGGGCCTTTTTTACTACCTTATGTCCCTGCACTGCCACCTTCAAGTGATCTGTGAACGTGCACACCCAGATCCCTCTGCACATCAATACTCCTAAGGGTTCTGCCATTCACTGTATAATTTCCACCTGTACGTGACCTTCCAAAATGCATCATCTCACTTTGTCCGGATTAAACTCCATCTGCCATTTTCTGTCCATGATTCCAACTGATCTATATCCTGCTGTATCCTCTTGACAATCCTCCTCACTATCTGCAACTCCACCAATCTTTGTATTGTCCGCAAACTTACTAATTAGACCAGCTACATTTTCCTCTAGAGATAGTAGGAACTGCAAATGCTGGAGAATCTGAGATAACAAGATGTAGAGTTGGATGGACACAGAAGGCCAAGCAGCAGAGGAGCGGGAAAGCTGGCGTTTCGGGCCTAGACCCTTCTTCACATTTTTCTGAAGAAGGATCTAGGCCCGAAACGTCAGTTTTCCTGCTCCTCTGATGCTGCTTGGCCTACTGTGTTCATCCAGCTTTACACCTTGTTATCTTACATTTTCCTCTAAATTATTTATGTAGATCACGAACAGCAGAGATCCCAGCACTGATCCCTGTGGAACACGACTAGCCAAAACCCTCCATTTCAAAAATCATCCTTCTATCACTACCCTCTGTCTCCTATGACTAAGCCAGTTCTGTATCCATCTTGCCAGCTCACCCTGATACCATGTGACTTTACCCTTTGTACCAGTCTGAAACGAGGGAGCTTGTCAAAGGCTTTACTGAAGTCCATGTAGACAACGTCAACCACTTTTTCCTCATCGCTTGTCTCCGTCATCTCCTCAGAAAAACTTGATCAGTTTATTGAGACACGACCTCCCCTGCAGAAAACAATGCTGTCTATTGCTAATAAGTCAATTCGCTTCTAAATGCGTGTAGTTCTTGTCCCTGAGAATCTTTTCCAATAATTTCCCTACCACTGACATGAGGCTTGCAGGCCTGTAATTTCCTGGATTATCCCTGCTACCGTTCTTAAAAAATGGAACAACACTGGCTGTTTTCCAGTCCTCTGGGACC